CGTAAGTCAATCACTGTGTGAAAATGATGCAAATCATATCTGATTTCGGAAAAATTGTTAGGGGGTTGAGGAGGGGGTTGAGGATAAATTTTGTTAACCCTGATAAAACGTGAATGTAAACGATCCCAGAGTCCTTAAATGGCCGTTAAAATCACCTTATTGTTTTCCTTGAGCATCTCGCACCTGAGAACTTAAAGCGAAATGGCGAGTCCAAAGCACGTGGTTGACATTTACTCGCTCCGTGAGATTTACGGTCAGTCAGCTCCCGTTACTGTTATTACGATATAGTCGTCCTTCGAGGATTCCACGTCGTCCGAACGAACAAACGATCGTCCGATCCACTTTCTCGAATCAGACTCTTTAATTCGTCATCAATCAGCTATTCGCTTCGATAAAATAATTTACGATTTATGTAATTTCGAGTCTGTCACTACGAACGATAGAGATTTTTCGTTTCATATTAAGTAAAAAAAAAATTTCCATATTCAAAGACTGTCAGAAAAACATTTTGTATATTTTTTATGAATAATAATAGCATTGGATACAATCAAAATTACATTGTTTTCGATCCCAATGTATGTTACGTCAATTCGATTGTTGATAGAACATTTGGGCTAATAATAGGAAAATATACAGAACAGTAAACTGGCAATATAAATAAGTACATATACAAGTTTGTAGTCGATCGAACTCCCCCAAAAGACTGCACTCAACGAAATGGTCGCAGAAAGCTGTTTTCAATGCGGCATTGAGAGTGACTTTATGTCTTGTGGTTGCTGAAGGCGAGGATGAGATAGGCACGCTGACTCTGACGTTAACCGTTGCGAGGCGATTTATTGCTGCTCTAGATATCTTGGCCCGGGCTACATAGCAGCCAGGCAGCCAGCCAGGAAGGAAGGAAGGAGTACTAGCTAGCAGAGGATGGAAGAAGGGATGAGTGGATGAGGTGGCTGAAGCGAACCAAGGGAAGAGGTCTACCTAGCTGGGCTAGTAGCCAGGGAGTCAAGGGAACTCTAGCTAACCCAGGATGGTCTGTAGAGAAGGGGTGGTTCCGCAAGAGAGACACGCACTCGAGCAAACTTCCCCAATATCCGCGCCTTCGCAACCCCTGTCCGCGTGCGAGAACCGAAAGCAGATATTAAACTTAATATATGGCCGCAATTAGGCGCAGCCCGCTACTCTCTGTGTCGCGGTACATGTTACTCCTACTGACGCCACGACAGCCCTTCAAACATCTGCCTTGAGCCGATCCTTGTCAGTCGTAACTCCCACGTGACTAAGTGCTTTTGCATTCTGGTTGACGATTTTTCTTCCTCAAATTCTTAGTCATAATGTCTATATATACGTATACCGAATCGCTATTTTGGATATTTGTATAGGCACAGACAAACGGATTTAGGCTGTCTAAACTAATTGTATAGTGTGTAATGAGTGTGAGTAAATTTGTGGAGAGGAATCCCTAGTGTACATATAGTTACGGAGTTAAATTTACGAGATCAATTAGCTCGGGTAGGTCTAGCTAATCTGTAGTGGAAGCCAAGTGGGGTGTTGCATAGAACGTTAGTATTAAGATTGCAAGAGAAGGCTTTCACTAGGATCTCCTTGATTCCTTTTCATGACCGCTGATCAGGTCCCGTCTTTTTTACAATTTAACAGCCCTAGAGTGAATTGAATCATAAACATTGTAATCGGATATTCATTTCACATGCATATAATATTTCAGCAAGTTTTATACCAATCTCTTTGATACACGTTCACGTTAGTACGAAGAATAGAATATGCAAAATAAATTAAAAAGTCAGTGAAGCCATATCGCGCAAAAAGTCATAACCCTCTGAGAATTCGTAAAGAAAGGAAAAGATATTTAAAAAAATAAGATACATTGCATTGAACTAATGCCAAATGGGGGTATAGGACCGAAGTAAATCTTTTCATTTGCAAATAGAAGCAGAGCCCTTTGAGACACATTTGCACACATCGTATACAGTGACGGTACCCATATATCCTTAGTTTTGCTAGGATTTGGACACCATGTTATATAATAAGAGTTCCACGTAGCGCGAAGGGTGCCGCCGGCATAAATCTCACATTAGGCTAATTTCAGTGAAATTTTTTCTCTCCGCAATGCCCCGCGTCAGTGCAGTACGATAATAGCGGATATTTATGAGCCTCAGAGTGGGTGCAATCAGGATGCCCAGCTTCTTCTTAGCGGCAGGCAGCTAGCAAAGAAAGAGGAGAGCGAGCGAGTAAGCTGTGGTGGTCGAACAGGGAAGGCAAAAAGTAAAGAAGGAACTGTGAGAAAGTAAGACTAAGAGAGTAAGAGAGAGAGAGAGAGAGAGACATATGGCAAGGGTGAGTAAGAGTAAGAGAGGACGAGTCGAAAGAAGGTAAGAGGGCTGAGGTATTCCAACTCACCCCTGTGATATGCCGTCAGCAGGATGAAATGGTTTCCCCTCCGGTTGCCTAGGTAACCTATGGCCCACCCTTTAGACTTCAGCAGCCACCCCTGTACGCTCAGAGCGCACCCCATCTACCGCTACGTGGCGGTCCTACGACTCGCACACATCCGACGGACCGAGAACGGCCATGTTGAATTCAATATCAGCATTCTCTGCATTCCGCGAGATTTTCTCCTCGATTCTCAGCGCTACGTGGTTAATACCTTTGGACACGTGAGTTCGTGGCTTTCAGGACCCAAATTGTAATTGACCTAAAGAAATAAATTCTTTTACGTGATGTTTTACGATTTTACTGAATCTCGCAAATGGAGAAATTAAAATTAAAATCATGGAACACTTTATGTGTTCTATATCGCATAGCGTCACGCTACTGTGAGAGAACTGTGTAAAAAAATAATATCCCTGATATCCTAATGGCACGATGTACACACCGACAACGTTAATTGGCTCATTCGTTCTCGTTTTAATTAGGAGACGCCTATCGTAGGGTCTAGTTACTACTGAAGTATGTATTCATTAGCTTGCTTAAATCAGCGCGTTTAATATTACAAGTTTTCTATGGAATTCTCTGTATAAGACGATATAAGTTTCTATGTGATTTTCGACTTCCTCTGGACTTTTAGTATCAGTGGGAATGCATGCGAGAATTATTATTGTTAGTCGCTCTGTGTTCTGTAGTTTTACTACTGTCCAGTACTTAAACCTGTAATAAATCAAGCTAGGATAATGGTACTTTGTATAACATTTGGTATCCCAAGGTAGATGGTATATTCGTAACGTGAGCCTTATCGAATATAGCAACTGTTAAAAAAAAATACATTCTATTTAAGTCATAAGGTCGTTTTGTGTAATTCGACTAGGATATTCAGCACTCTAGGACGAGTCCTGTCGTCCTTAGTCATTTTACTTGATTACGATTAGAGTGACTGACTGTTAGGAAATTCCACTTTGTAGTATACACTCCCTTCTGGGACTATTAAGAAATTATCATAATCGGAAGATGTAATGTGTATACCCATCATTGAAAAATAAGACGTTACACGGACTGATAGTATGTTTGCTTTTAACACTCGATAGAATCGTGTTTATGGTCAGAGCAAATCATTTTAAGCCCACTTCCAACGTCGAATTATACTATCTCTTAAATAGTCAGTAGCTGTCGTTTGTTTTACCGGTATGGCAATATGTATATACTGATGCTGTCGCGCGAAAGATGCTCTTATACGGACCAGTCCGAGGGCCTAACCGGTTTTTTGTGGTTTACGAGTTTTGCGAGTCAAAAAATGTTTGTTTTCCTTGTGGACATGGCAAAGCTGTATCATGGATACTTTTATGTATGGTAATTTGGAATTGCAATATTGTAGCAATTGCCATATGGTTATTTACGGATTTCTATTTTTTACCTACAATTGAGAGATATATAATCGTTATGGAAATTTTTATTATACTTCATATTGGCAATGTGCTTGGATAGTAGCGTTACTGCAAATTTATATTGGAATAATGTTTTTTTTTTTAATGGGAAAATTAATACGTGTTATACGTTTACGAAGAATACCTAACTGGTTATTAGGTCGTTTCACTTTTTGAAAGGAATACACGACTCTTGTGTAAAAAATTACATGTAGAAACTGGCTTGTTGAAATTGCAATAAGCCTGATTAAAATACACGCGTTTCCACTGGCGAATGCCGGCTCTGGAGTTTTAACTGTTACTAGTTGTAAATTTAAGGAATATAAGTTCTATATAATTAGCCTTTCACCGTCGTAGGAGTCCTAATGAAAATTGTTATTTACTTGAGTACTGTCCATTCGAAGAGTCAAGAAATTGTAACTTAGAGCGCAAAGCTGTACGCGTACTCATGCAACTATCTTACCATGCTCTGGATATTACTATAAGGAAGAGGATCGCTGAAAGAAAAAAAAAAAAGTGAAAATGCGGCTGTCGCATCCGCAGAAACTGAAAACTTACCAGGTGTTCAATGTTACCTCATTACTCGATGGCAGTTCGATAGGTACCTAAACACCATAAAAAAAGAGTCGAGAATGTGTTTACGACTTGGACTTCCCAAGAGAAAGTCAGGGTGACTCGAGCATTTTGAAAAAGGGTTCATTCAGGATAAAGGATAACTTTTTCCGAGACGTTTTAAGGCAACTTTCTTTTTCTCATTCTCCCTCGTATTTTTTTTCTACCTTTCCAACCACTCTCAACCCCTGCAATAAACTGTTCATCCAGAATTACTCTTTTGTCCAAGTGAAAGCGGAAAAAGAGCTGGAGAGAGTTTAGATTTGTGACTCGTCGAAAAGGGTGGTCAGCCATTTTAGAGAGGGGCAGATATTGCGCAACCCTGTCTGAGCATGATTCCAAAAAAAAGTACCGTAAAGAAAAGGCAGTACGCAACCTTTCCCAATTTTCAAGTATTATTTCCTTCGATGACGCTTTAAATTCAATCGAAGAACATTAATCCCTCGATCAAACCATACGTTCCTCAGTGAGAAGAAAGTGTTGAATAATATATAAAATAAATCGTCTTTTTTCCAGGTCCGAACGGCTGCCCAAGACGCAGAGGCCGACAAACCTACACACGGTTCCAGACCCTGGAGTTGGAAAAGGAGTTTCACTTCAACCACTACTTAACGAGACGACGACGAATAGAAATCGCGCACGCGCTGTGCCTGACGGAGCGACAGATAAAAATCTGGTTCCAAAATCGGCGGATGAAACTGAAGAAGGAGCTAAGGGCAGTGAAGGAGATCAACGAGCAAGCCCGACGAGAGCGCGAGGAGCAGGACATGATGAAGAAGCAGCAGGCAGAGAAGCAAGCAAAGATGCAGCAGGAGCAGCAAAGCGCACTGCAGCATCAGCAGCACCACGTCAGTGGTCTCGACAAAGCGCAGAGCGATCTTCTCAAGGCCGTCAGTAAGGTACCCACATAGGATACCTTGCTGAGCTCTCTCTTCTTTAATAGGACATAATAGACGCGCATAAGCGAAGCACACCCTCAACTACGTACTTACCTGGCCGGCCCGAGGATGCCCGAGTTCATCCTCGTGGTCCTCGCCTGACTGATTCCTAGAATGTATTTTGTAAATCGGAAGCGACAACGAGCCATCGTGATGCTACGTAGAGCCGTGTGAATCGACGTGGAGCCGTGCATCGACGATTCCCTGTGAGAACGACGTCACAAGGATATACGAGCTCAAACGAATTCTCCGTTCTCCGGGAAAACGATCCTGGAATCCATCTTCGTGTGTTGCTTGATTACGCTGCTAGATGTCGCCCACAGTCTATTCCGCAAGAAGACCTCAGTTCTTTCACAGAACGGTGCACTGTGTCACTGACAGACTCCACGTGTATACCACAATGCCGGGTACTAAAGGACAGCGTGATCATGGATCAGGACCTCGTGGGACGAGGATTTACAGGCTGGTTCCTGTTCGACAGGGATAACGACATGAGAACATTCAATGATTCTGCGGATCGCTCGAGTGGAGCTAGTGCATTTTTGTTTCCGTGTACCTACATAGACGCTACCAGTTTTTATATATATGGTGTCTTTCGTGAACTACAGTCGACGATCTTTTTAAGATCGTCGTCCTAGAATCCATTGGGATTTGTCGCACATGAGAGGTTGTGGAGTGCATTCGGTGAACTGGAAAGGAAGTAAGTTTCTTTCTAGAAAAGTGCAAGAGTACATGAGAATACATCGACGCAAGAAAAAATCGCACGGTCTTTATGCGTTAGCGAAGTCGAGTAGGTTATTATTAGTCTCGACAGAAGAAGCAAAACGACCGATTAACAGTATCGATGATTGTAAAGTTAAAAACAAAAAGTTAATCGGTTCTTAAATTGATCGATCCGACATCAATCTCAATATGCCTTACAGCCTGCGAAGATCTCATTAAACGGTGACACGGTTTAACCGAAGGTATACAGCAACGGCGCCCAAGCTACATAGCGAGATAACGATGGGGAATAATTAAGATATATGAGGTCATCGATTCGTATTATGTAAAAGTCCCTCCAAAATCAAGCCTGACGATTTACCCGCGATTATCCATTGACAATGAGTGGTTCGTTTTCAGCTCCGCATCGGCCATGTTATATTTTGTGTAATATTATCGAGAGTTTTATTGTGTTCAAGTTACAACGTTATAGTTTTTATTTAATCTAACGTACTTCGCTCTCCCTGTGTCCCTGTCCCTTTGTATACTGCGCTCCATTACGTCATCCCGGTTATCCTTCCTACGTTAATCGCTATTCTTTACCGTTTCCCTTCATTTTCTCTAGTAAACTCTTCTCCAGCGCCACTTCGTCTCCCGCGCAACTTACTGTTATTGCTGATTAACGACGCCAGCGTTCACTCGCTTTTCCAAATTTCATTTTCTTTCCTCGCACAGAAATTATATACACAGCGACACGAAATTAAGAGGCGAACAATATTTATGCAATTTATAATGCAAGCGACACCCGTTACAGTGACGCATGACAAAATGTAATGCAAATGCATTGCAGAATCACCGGACGAGTATTTCACTCTTAGTACATTAAATACGTAATTTGGTGTCAGGGTAGACATTTCCGTATAGATATAGAGTCTATTGTTGGTATTACTTACTTAGTACTTGTAAACATACACGGGCACGTACAGATAAAGATGAGAAAGAAAACGTTTCTGATTATATAAATTAATAATTTTTTTTTCTATTTTTGTTTCACGCGACACCCCATCCAAATCCTCGTGTCAATTCGCGTTTAAATATTAGTAATGGCGAATTACAGTTGCGAGAATCGCAGTAACTGAGGATCCGTTTTTTTTTTAGGATGGGGATTCGCGTAGTACTATTACGGCGTAAAGCATAGGGTATATATATATATATATTATATTATTAAAAATGATAAGAATATTATTATATAATATATGAAAAAAAGGAAATGATCTGTTGTATTCTGCTCTGATAAGGAAGAAGAAGAAGATGAGGAAGAAATGAAAAAAAAGAAATGAATACGTTAGACACCTCGTAAGGGAAGTTTAGGTTAGAGGGAGTGATAATTACGTACTACGTATAAGGTGTACGTAAAAGTTTAAATTAATAATGCGTAACGCGACGAGTGCAGCTCTAATAGACGTCCGAAGACTCAAGGCAGAGACATAGGTAACCGCAAAGGATACTACTCTATTGCTAATTGAATATTATTACAAATAATATCCGTACGTAATTAAGAAGCTGCGCATGCAAGACCGCACAATATACTCACGTACTTCACGTAGTGCGAGGTACATACCGTAAAGGTACGTAAGATAGTGATTAAACTTTAAGGAAAAAGAAAAAATGATAAGCGGGAGAAAATGTTAAAGGAATACGGTAATGCGGTTGGTAACGTACATGATAGGGAATAAAGATGGGGAAAAAAGGGAATAAATGAGAAACCTCACCTAAGGATGAGATCAAGGTAAATGCCGATGCCGTTTTAATGTAAACGTTAGGATCCTCGTATGTATGCTATTTAATATGTAATAAGTATGTATATCTATATCGGTTTTCATTCTGCGTACTCAGTTGTTACATTTCGTACCTACGTGTATAGAATTTGAATTGGTGAATTTTTTCAAAAAAGTTTTTAAAAAACGTCAAAGAGTGTGATCACGGCCTGAACCCACCCTGGCACAAGTATACGGCAAAATAGTAAGAGAATGTGAGGAAACGGTCGAATGGAAAACGTAGTGCGACGAAAAGGAAAGGATGTTACGACGGGTTAAGTCCTGGTGAAATTGTGTATTTGTAGAAAGCTTTATAATATCTATTATGATCTATTATTGCTAGTTACGTTTGATGTTATGTCGTTAATTATAGTGACGCGCGGTAGTAGTGCAGTGGCGGCGCCGATAAACGCCCGAACAATTAGGTATGTAGAGTTTGCTAATAAATTCATTAAAACATTTTTGTACAGAGGACGATATTTTCCGTGGCGTTAATTTTTTACTTACGATTAGTGTTTAATAGCGAACAAAAAGTAATGTGAAAAGATGGAGTTGAGTACGGTCGCCTGTCCCTGCTGGTACGTGCAACAGCTTGTGAACACATATGCATACCAGTCACTGATAATTGCTTAGATAATTAATTGATTAATTATTTGATTAATTATATATGATCCCATTTTATTTGATCTTTCAAAAATAATAAACGATCATAATTTTCTAAACTAATTACGTCAACGATAACTGCATATAAGATTTGATTTATTTGGACTTTGTTGCAATTTGCGAAAATTATTACTCAAATTTTAAAAGATTGGCTATCCTACTTTATGTATAGTTGATTCGTCACGTACAGTATGTGTGAGATTATTAATGACCGTTGAGACTGTTGGGATGCTATATAGATTTTTAGTTTCCTTTCGTTTTAATCAAATGCACACACGTGCCATTATCTTTACGAGCGGATATTAGTGCAATGTAAAATATTGATTTTACACTATGTACATGCATATATTCTTACGCATATATTTATATATTCTCGCCACGAAGAAATTGCAGCAGAGTGCAAATACTTGGCGTTTACGTTGACGCGATTGTTTCGTGACTATTATTTGCTAAACTAGTAGAAAAGTCTATTTTCGACGCGATTATCCATAAAATACTTAAAAAAAAATAGGAAAAAGAAAAAGCACAAAGTAAAAAAAAAGCAAGTGTCAAACGAATGAGATGAAAGAGTGAAACAAATAAAAGGGAAAATTGGTAAAATCATACGCAGGCGCCGTCCACATCTCTTATGCTTTTTTAAGCGGCTTATCTATGATGAACGTTTGGAATTCTAATAATTATCATTAATGCGGAAAAAGAAAAAGATCATAGTAACGCGTAATCATATCATGTAACGTTCGTAATACTTCCCTATGTCCCAGAAGACCTTGAACCTACAACCCAGCCCGTGACCCATTCCTTGGAAATCATCTCCATCCATTCTCCTCATCCAATTTACCTAACCTAAACCTTGCTCTCTGTAAACCCTACCAATATTATAAATGTATTATATAATTGCGCTAGAACGTAACGTTTAAGTAATGTAACGAGTACGTTAGTAGAGTACAACTTTGCCAGACTTGCCAAACTCGCGATGAAATACGAAAAACCCGTCTGCACGATAAATGACGGCGTTATAACGAATTGTTGTAAAGCGCGCAGAGGGACGTCGTATGAGACGCATCGCGAGGACTTCTCGTATCCGAATTATTTGAAGCATGATGGGAAACCGAAGTGGAGAACGAAGTGGATGATAGAGGAAGTGCGTAACGATATAAGGTACTAGGGTGGTAGAAGACGAATATAGGGTGAAAAGCGCATTAAGAAATATCGCTATATTGTGTGGCTCAAGCAATTGGTAAGTAAATTTACCGAAAACCCGAGTGACTGTAGTACGAAGCGCGTGTGTATACGCGTGCGATTAAGATTAGCTTAAGATTTAATTAAACGCGTGAGAGAGTGTGATTGCGTAGCTGTCGATATGTACTATAAGTATAACTAAACGACTAATTAAACGAATTAGATAATCCTCACGTAGGAGAAGCGTATGATTAATATTTACAGTGAAGTTAAAGGGGATGAAAAAAAAAAAGAAAATGAAAAATAGCACGAATCCGTCACACGGAGAAAACAGGAACAAGTTGAAATTGTTTGTTATATTTTTTTTTTTCTTTACATATAGATACATTGTTTATTTATGAACTGTTTATTTTACGTAGTTTTTTTGGTCGCGCGTATTTGTTTTTGTTAATACGAAGATGAGGTACTGACGAGTTTCTTTTTCTTCTTATCTCTCTTCCCTCTGTTCTTCTTCCTCTTTCTCGATAACGTAGACTAGGTTTAGTACTGTCGCTTTTTCGCGTTTCCTTTCCTTTTTTTCATTGTTTCGCGTATACAGATCTTTAATGTTTCTTGTTTTAATTACGTTTTCGAAAGCCGGTTAATCATTTATTATTAATGTTATCACGTTTTTTTTTACATACGTACACGGAAGCCTCGTACCCCTTCTCTTTTTTATTATTACTAAAATTTACTATTTCCCTCTCTCCCTATCCTCTTGCACTTTTCTCATCATTTTTCCAACGTCCCTTTCTCTTCCCAGTGCTTTTCATCCACAATGTATCCAAGAGCAGTCTGCAAGACGTAAAACTTCGTTTTCATAGTAAGAGAGCGCCTCGTTCGGCGCTATGCGAAAAGCCTTCATCGGCCTCCATCCACAAATGACTGGTAATATGCTTAGTTCCCTAGTTAAAATCCATCCCCGTAATAACCTTGTTTATACTAGAACAACGTTGTACAAAAAAAAAAAATGACGTAGGTATATGCGTTCAACGAGCACTTAAGTTTAGATCCGAAATTTTGATCTGCACTTTGGGTGCCGTTTTCATAGGCAGCTCTTTACCCGCTTTGTTTTTTTTTTTAATCTTTTATGTATTATATATAAAACTTACTCCCAGAACTTTCTGTTCTACGTATGACGCGTGCGAATGGTCCGCATTCTTATCTGCATCTATGACTTCGCTTTTCCGTTTCCCGGCTGTCGTACGCTTATTAACTGTTTTCTACGCGTCAGTAGAATTTTAAGCCATGTCTTTCTCTACCGAAAGCAGCTCAACGACTTTTCGTACAGTCGCGGGCTCGAGTCACCGATCACCAATAAATATTTTACGTGCGATCAAAGCGAGGATTGATATCGTAAAATTTGATGTTTCTTACTGTGACGATCCGCGAATCGAACCCGCGACTAATTTACGAACAATTTTTAGTGTTAAATAATTTTTTATATTTTTCGTAAATTCATGTTTCGGCTACACCTTATTGGCGTATCCGCACACGAATATATTACTCATGTACAGGCGACTGACTAGCTGCGATACCTTCGATGCTGAGAAAAAAATCACGGAAAATTTTTCACAAAAACTACAAAAAGTGTCACGAAGAAATAACACGTGCTTGATCATTTGACGAAATTTTTTCATCGAAAATTTTTTGTCATTTTTCTTGATTGCTTTATAAAAAATTAAGTGGCCATACATCGTTTCTTTTTTTTTTTCGCAATGCCAAAAGAAGCGTGAGAGACGTATGGATTTTTATTTTACGCTCAAAAGCATCGTTCGTGTCCACTGTCTAGCTACACTTTTTCGTAATTTCCTGTGCCGTTGATATTTAGCTGGTAAGCCTCGAGGGTGTTGAGCAATTTAGTTAAAAGCGCATCACGTCGTATAATTCACGATATTCGCAGTAAACTCGGAATAAACCGGTACGAAGAGGATTCGCACATTCTTGTCCAACGGGAAGTTATCTTATGTGTTGTCTTGCTGTACCTACTAAGTGGATCGATATTACCGTGTATTGCTTCCTAATTCTCGGTGTAAATATTAACGTTACTTAATATTAACATACCCACTGAGTGCAGCCCGCACTGTAAACCGACCGAGCGATACGCACGGTCCTTTATGCGGATCTTGCAAATTCATGGATACCTAATTAATGTAATACTATAACTATAAGAGAGCATAGCTGTCCTACAATACCTATCTACCATGTTAAGTAATAAAGTAATGAATTTAAAAAAAAAATCTCATGTCTACTGACTATTAAAAATTAGTATTATACGACGACGAGAGCCGAGAGACGTACGGGATAATGATGAAGAAATAATCCATTGACAATGAATGTAAATGTATCCATTTTCGAAACTCGATGTAGAATTATACTCATAAGCTATATCTATGATATACAAACGAAATAAAAACGTATAGTAAATTATTACTTTGTATTTCATCAAATGTACCTGCACCATGATTCTTTACGAAATTGTCGCAACTCCAAAAAATTGCCGGACTCAATATTCAATTTTTTAATTGAAATAATTCGCTGTGTGCTTTTCATGAAATTTTACTATAGTCGGTGGATTCTATCAAATGTGAATTGTAGTAAGATAGTGCCATCTATTAATATCATACGGTAAGGAGGCATTTCTTTGTGAAAACCTAATAAACTGCTAATCCAATCGACATTTAAACGGTATGACGTCGTGTATATTCACTGCATGGGCGTTATATGTTACGCGTGACAATTGCAGTGCCTATACTTTACAGAAATGCAACTGCTATTGCGGGTAATATATTTTGGTAGCGAGAGGGACCCATGATAAACTGTTTAAGAATCCGCCGAGGAGCATTTTGCCATGAAGTTGCGAGGACAGGTACGAGCAAACATAATTTTTCCTTTATTATCGTTCCTGTTGGCTACTCCACGCCTCCTCTCCTAGTTGATATATTTTTAATACCGCACAAGAGAAGCCGGTTCCACGTGAATTTACAGTATCGTCCCTGGAAGTGAGCCGATTTATCGTTGCGAAAGAATGAGAGTAAAGAAAGTCAAGAAAATGCATGATTGCGAAATAGCCGTGGAACTTCAGCCAGAATTTGTTTATCAACACCGCATTATTATTATGGTTCATGTAGATTGACGTAAGTGCGTCCCGACGCCTTCGTCGACTTTAATTTAGATTTGCTTTTCATTCTAATAAATTTCAACTCGGTGCAAGCACTAAATGTTTTTCAAATAAATTTTCTAAATTCTCTATTACTCATAGGTACTCTAACACGCTGTTAATGCAATGTTAAAATAATTGCTAATAAATATTCAAAACTTATTATGGCAAAAGACATTAGAATGGGTATATCTAGAATTTAATATTTTTTAAAAATAACAATTGCATTTGCCCATATATATAACAAAAGCCTCGTATCTCCGAGCGTTATATTTATAATACTCCACGTATGCATATTTATTTAATTTCCTATTTTTATCCCAAGAAAAAATATTCGCGCCAGTCTTATCCGATCCGCCAATCATTGCCGATCCTATACAACACTGAAGCTCGACAGGTGGCTAGAGATGGTAAACCTTATTTATAAAAACATCCTATCTAAAGTAACCGTGCAAGAGTAAACGTTTTAGGAGGATCTCTATTCGAATAATATATATAAGAAGAGCAACATTCCGGACATTGGCTGTCACCCCTTTTCTTTGTGGCTCCGTTCGTTTCTTCAACCCCCTTTCACAATATCGTCATCTCGCCACTTTTACGCTCGAAGGGGCAGAAAATTGAAATGGAAACATTGAGCGGTCGCGTATGGCTACAGATATTTCGGAATAACCGTTTTGGGTTATTTGCCAAACTCCCCCAGGTTTTCTCGTAGACCTGACACTGGTCCATTCGGCTTACGACCATACCCTGGCCTATTTCACGCGATTACCGCTCACGCAATTTTTCAACCCCGGTACATACCATTGGACCCGTCTGTTTTTTTTTTTATTACACCCAACACAAAGACGTACTATTATCCACATCTTTTACGTGACCCGATTAGAGCATACTTCAAATCGCGGCATCAAGTTCCTTTAACTCTATTCTCAATGTTTAAAAATATTATTCCAAAGTGCACTTCGGTAAGAACTATTTCTATCGATTCTATCGTTATAACTTATAACGAAATAGTTAAAATCATTGATAGCATTGATAGCTGACATGATGCTTATGGTAATGTAATTACTTGAAACTTAGTTAGGCTTGGTTATTCCAATAGGAAAATTGTATCAGTAACATGAAGGTTAACTTGTCATTAGCATGATAAATTGTAGACTAATTAACGATTGGCTCGAGTATGCAATATTTTTGGTATATTATATATATCATATACAGATGGTTTAGTATGCTCGTAAATTTATTAACAGAAAGAACCCTTTCATTTCTTCTAACCAGAAACAGACGCCAACCTTCAGGGAATATTTCGTTCACTCGAAATCACTCGACGAGTTGGATGAGGTTTAAGTAGTCGAGAGATATACTAACTACAAGGAAAATTATGATGTAAAATAATATAAGTTGCTTGGCATACCAGTTTGTACAAACGATAAAGTCGGAGCCCGATAAATAGAAAGTCTAAAGGGCATCAATAATCCAGAAATTTAGTTTATACTCTTTTTTGTTGGTATATGCAAATGGAAGCACTGATTTCCTACAGATCATTGTATCTAGTACGATAGTAAATGTATGCAAAATCATAATGATTTTACGGGATCATTATCACTTGAAATTCAAGTAAAACTCAAGTAAAATTCAAGTGAAGATCGTTGGGATAAAGAAATGAAGTTGTGAACAGGAATATAATAACACGAGATTATCTAATCTACAATCAGTCACGAATTAGACACTCTGCTTAGTTACATTTCGCATACGAAAATACATTTTAGTAGATTTCATCGCAATTATAAACAGTTACATTAATAGTACACAAGTTAGTTATATTTAACAGTGTAATATATATAGTAATATGAACAAGCGTTTAATTCGGACATGAATGAAGACAGTGACTGAGATAAAATAAATGTCACGTTTTCAAGAAACTATGCGTTGAATTATTAAAAAAAAATATTTAGGCGCCAGTGGATTCGTAAGTTATTTTGTTACGCACATTTTTGAGAGATTCTTTCGTTTCTTAAATTATCGCTATATTTTGGAAATTTTACTAAAAAATATATTTAAAATTACTACGTAACAGTGTAAGTCACAGACTTTCCGTCGTTATCGTAAAAGATCCTGTCAATAATTAACACCTGCCAATAACAACACGAAAGTCGATGGTCATGCCGTGCGTTAACGTAATACGGAGCAATCGGATACGTAGGCGTAGTATTTCACGTTTATGATTCTATACCTATACCTATCCCACTGTCTGTAATAACATAAACAGAACATAACTGCTATAACTGCCTCGTATTGCTGTCACGATAGGCGCCCGTAACAGCGCATGCTAATACATTATTGATAGCATGGATAATTGTTTGCCACATCCTATAGATTACTAGAGAATAATCTCTATTATATGAAATCATATGACAGTTTACATAATTAGGAAAATGGAGCTCCCGTATGGACATAAACATTCAAGAAAGGACTGGTCCATTTGGCATTTAATTAGAGAGTGTAAAAGGCCCAAGATATCCCATAGGAACTATTAAGGAAATAGGCGGCTACCTAAGAGGGATATTACAACCCTTGCTACATAATTTTCATTGGCGAATGTACCAGTGGAACATTTATATACAAAAATAGTACGCAATGTTGTATACATATATCTCTCTCTTAAATTACTATCATTATATTCATATATTATATGGGAAAAAGTTTGTATTAATTAATATCGTAATTTATTTGATTGTTCATTAGATTTTTATGTGCTATTAATTATTGGTAGATATACCTATATATAAAAGTGAACGTTTCAACCAGGAGTGATTGAACGTACGAATAAGAAATGTTGTAATGGTTACGTGGTGCCGTTAATGAATCAATTTGACACGAGATAAATCATTAATGTCGAACTTATCAATTGATAGCAGTTATTTACAAACGTAACCGTAGCAACGGCTGGTAACCCGATAGTATCATGTTTGTTTCTTCCGGGGTGTTGACTTCGCGGTTCCAAGGATGATAAGGATTAGGTACAGATACCAAGGCGACAAACGAATCCAAACTGATTGCCATGAAAAGATTAGGTTTTTGCACATGAGAATTTATCTCTTTTTTTAATCCCAAGATGAGGCAGTTCCCTTAATATAAATTTTTTCGTATCTTTTGCACTTTTGCATTTTTTTCGTATCTCTGCGTCTTCCTTTATCTCGTGGCCCGCTACGGTATTGCTTACTTCGTAGCCATTTCACGGATCTTTCCAAAGAGGAGAAAGGAAGTGAGGCCTCGCCCACCCTTGAGAAAAGGTAGATCCCGAAAAGAAAAAAAAAGGAAAAAAACCCCATATGTTTTATGTTCCCCATACAAATACTCGTATATGTATACCTATAGTATATCCCCGCGGCTCCGAAAACCGGTAGACAGTCTGAATAACATTTAGGATCTAGGAGGATGAAAATGGCGCGCCATTCGTAAGAGAGGAAAACTAGGATCGTTAAGCCATCGCAGTCATAACAGCGTGATCGAGACTCATTTTATGGCTAGTCCATAGCCATAGGTTCTAATTCCTATACTTCCTAGTTTTATTGGAAATATGAATTTCCGTACGTGCATTCCTTCTATGGCAATTAGCAGCATACTGTTATACGAAGGTATTGCAGAGGTAAGGAATATCTACAAGCACGTGCAACGCGTAGCTCAATGATATTTCTTGCAGAAGGATATGCATCCACATATGTAAATATTCTCCACACGTTTCAAAGTCCTTCCTAAGGATTTCAGGAACCGTGGCTCATTGATACACACTCTGTACACCGTAACACGTACCATGAAATAATGAGAAACGTATATGTCTTCTCAAGAAATCTGTCCACGTTAATTCTCAATAATATCTCTGATACAGGGAGGAAACATTTATCAGGGTGACTTTTTTTGATATCCGTTCAAGAGAGATGCCAGCCACGAATGAAATAACTCACGTCCAGTTGGCATACGGTTTATGGTTAGTATGGATACCTTCATGTCAGAGCTGTATCTCGTGCTTTAGGTCACTCATGGTTAAGCAGCTGGTAAAGGGTCAAGAGATCGAACTGGAAGAATGGAACGGGTTGGATAGAAACTGAACTCGTCTTCTGAGCGTTTGCCTATGTAGACCTGGGAATGGTTGGGACTTCTGGTAGATCGAAGGTGGTCCGAAGGGCTGTGTAAGTGATGCGTGTAAAATATTAATGTGTAGGGAATGGTGCGAGGTTAGGGTTACATATGTGCGTTCGTGTGTATATAT